ACTTGCATTCCCTAGAAAGACGAAGAGTGCGGGGAGATGTGATAGAAGTATTTAAGTGGGCGAAAGGAATCAATAAAGGGGATATAGATAAAGTTCTTATAATATCCGAGCAGGATAGGACTCGGAGCAACGGAGTCAAGTTGGATAAGTTTAGGTTTAGGAGGGAGATAGGAAGAAACTGGTTCACAAATAGGGTGGTGGACGAGTGGAACAAGCTTAGCAACTTTGTAGTAAGTGCGGGAACTCTGGAAAGTTTCAAAAGGAGGCTAGATAGATTCATGGATGATAGAGAGTGGCAGTAACTCTCGACAGGAGCTGCCATGCAGACTCCTTATTTTCTTATGTTCTTCTACTTCTCTTCACATACACACACACACACACACACACACATTGTCCCACCTCCTTCCATTACTCTAGGTCCGAACACACTCCAGGCTGTAGATTCCACGAAGCTCCTCGGCGTCACCATAGACAACAAACTAAATTGGAAACCACATGTCAGTGAAGTTGTCAAATCCTCCAGTTTCCGTCTCCACCTCCTCCGCCGACTCAAGTCCCTCGGAGTTCCTGCACACGAGCTCCTCAGTGTTTACACAACATTCAAACTTCCCAAGCTCACCTATACCACCCCCACCTGGTCTTCCTCCCTAAATGCCACACAACGTAAACACCTAGAAAAGGTGCAAAAGAGGGCATGCAGATCATTCTCTCCCCTTCCTACTCCACATATCAAGAAGCGCTCAACACACTGACCCTTTCGACTCTCACTGACCATCACCACGACCTCATCTGCAAATTTGGTAAGAAGCTTCTACACCATCCCCGACACCGGCTCCTACTACCACCTGAGATCCCTTGTCCGAGAATTGCTGTTCGACACCACAACCGCATCCATCCCATACGTGCACGAACTGATCGCTATAAGAACAGCCCAGTCCCAACCATTGTAAAAATTATCAATAACTTGTAATAAATCAGTGTATTCACTCCCAGTAAACACTGCTCCTTACACTGTCACTATGTTGAAATGAACTGTAGTTTGAGCTTTTCCCCATCTAGTTATTATATGTCTTATTTGTGTCACTTATGTTACTTGTATATTATTTGTAATTCGTAACCCATTCCCCAAATATGTAACTGTATATTTTCAGCCTTCTGGCTGCCAAGCTCTTTCAATAAACCGTTAATTATTAATTATTATTATTATTATTATTATTATTACACACACACACACACACACACACACACACATGGATATCAATAGACAAATAATACCATGTTTCTTCTTTCACTCTACCCTTTTCTCTTTAGTTTATCAACAGTAATAAGTTGCTATGGAGTGTGTGCCTCACCTTGTGTACGTGTATAATATTTTATTGGTGCTTACCTGGTATATACAGTATGTTAGACAATGGGTATGTTTTTGCTCAGGAGAAACTGAAGATTTGCAAACTACTGTAACGGTTCAGTTCGTATATAGCATCTTTGATTTAAACACTGGTCGGTGTAACGGTAAGAGTCGACTTTCTGACGATTTAATTGTAACAGAAGACGGATGAGGTCAGGAAGGGTCACGATTTCTTTCATGAGACACCGGAGATATTTGATCTGTATGACCCTATCAATTTTTTAATTTTAGCAAAGGTTATCACACTCTTTACCTGTCTTCATTGTCTCGATAACATTGGAATATAATGATATTATAAGCCGAGTCATTTATCATTTTGTGCTTTACAAGTTAAATACGATTTGAATTTGTATATACTGTATAAATTCAGATAATTTTACCGCAATTAATGCTAAACTAATTAATGATGGGATAAGGTTGGGGACCTGTCACCTTTTCGAAAATTAGATAATATATAGTGAGTTTCGTTTTCACTACCCTGGTAATAAGGCGGCTCTCCCTAACAAGCGTGTATTACTTTAGCTTAAACTTAAGTGACACTTCAATCAGACATGTCTTAGTCTTCTATGAAAGTCATACCACATGCCAGTGCGAACCAAGTCATACATTGGAGTTATACAGGTGTGAAAACTGTATGTGTGAGCCATAAGTGTGTGTGAATCATATAAATGCGATAAGCCATCTGTATGAGTTACACTCGGGTGATCACAGAGGCAGTGGGTGTGCAGGTGGCCCTCCCCTCTCTGTTCCGTCCTGTCTTCCAGTCCCCCAATGACGAGGAATAAAGTTTGCACGTGAATCTGGTGACCACATCTTAACTAAAGGTGCTCTGAGGGAGTGAGACGACTGTGCAGTATGTTATATTTACAGAAACTGGGTAATTCATGAATTGCAAATGAAAAATGCATTGGAGGCAGCTACAGATGGCAGACTCACTGTGTAGGCTACAAACAGAGGTGGCCTTACTCGTTCCAGCATAATGTGTTGACTGGTTATTTAAGGAAGGAAAAACAACAATTACGAAGGGACTAAGACGGTCGAGTCAGGCAAGGACTAAAAAACTAGTGGGAGGGAACATTAGTATGCTGTTATAACACTGAAAAAAGTAGTAACAACAAACAGTGAAATAGCAAACAGACTGTGTTCAGTTTTTACATCGTATTGAAACCCATACTGTTGAATTAGTGACAATATCTATGGCTCCGACATCATGTGTTTGGTTACTGGTGTCGCACTACAAGGAAAAGAGCAGAGGTACACACAGCATCATCCCAGCAGAAGTAAAACTGAATGAAAACAAAAATGCAGTCATGGTGTGACCTTCACTAAGGAGGTGTAGTGGTGGCGTAGATTGTGATAGATGAGTGGTGGTGCCGTCTCACACCCCAACCACTCGCCCTCAAACGTCCGTCGGCTGGTCACCAACAACCAAACTATGCTAACTACCTCTATTGGTGTGTCTAAAGTCAGCTACAACCTCTGAGGCGTAGAAAATGGCACGTAAGCCAATTTACCTTCACCGTGATTTGATTTGATGTGAGTTAATTTAGTAAAGATTCATACAGTACAAGCATTCGTGTATAAACATTCACCGAGGATAACACGCAAAGTATTAGCAATTAATTTTATTGAAGGTGATCATTATTGTACCGGGAAGGAAGCTTCGTGAGTAAGAAGCTGCAGTTGTACAGTCAGTATGATTGTCGTATATTTCTGGGTTTTATATACTCCTTGCCACACAACACACCCTGACAGCTGCACAGACGAAGAGGAAAGTCCACACAGCTCACAGTAGGATGCTGCGTCAGAAAAGGAGTAAATAGCAAGAACATTAGTTACCCCTCATAGAAGGTAGTAATACAAACGCTGCTGTGTTGAGCAGTACTGAGCAATCACAATTAATTCTTCATTACGTATCGAATATATAGCGACAAATAATCTGCCCTCAACCTTGCTTCTTATTGTTTACCATTTGAGTGATCATTATTATGCATCCATACCGTTACTGTTAAAAAGACTCGTAAAGAAAGGGAGAGAAGAAGAGAGAGAGGAGAGGTAGGGAATACGGGAGGTAGGAGTTATAGAGCAAGTCTTTCACATATACTTAACCAAGTCTAAGTCTAAGATGTACGTTTATATGATGCACAACTTAATGTCTTCACCGAGCGCTGGGCTGATATTAGGGCGGGGAGAGGGGAGGGGGGGGGGAGGACATCTTCGGGATTATCTTGCTATAGTTATGTCAAGTTATTCTAGGTTAGGTTCTATGTTAGGTTAGATTATGCCATATTAGGTAATAGGTTAGGTTATGCTATGCTATGCTAGATAAGGTTAGATTATTCTATATTAGGTTAGGTTATGCTGCATTTGGTAACGTTATGCTAGGTTAGGTTTATATTAGCTTGGGTTAGGTTAATTAGGCTATGCTAGGATATGTCAGGTTTGGTCAGAATAGCGTTAGGGACAGTCGGTCTTCATCACATAAAGGCTGGATATTGGTGAACTGCGAGTGAATGAACTTTGTCAAGAGCTATAGTTGCCGCCCACCGCCCTCACACCCACCACCAGGGTCAATAGTTTCTACCCATGTGTCTCTCTTTCGCTCCCTTAACTCTCTCCCTTCCTAGCTCCTTCCCTTCGTCGCTCTTACCTCTCTCCTCCCTCTCTCCCTTCCTAGCTCCTTCTCTTCCTCGCTTCTATCTCTCTCCTCCCTTTCTTTTCCTGGCTCTTAATTCTGTCCTCCCTCTCTCTCCCTTTCTAGCTCTTAAATATTCCTCCTCCGCTCTTAACTCTCTCCCTGTCGCCCTTAACTCTCTCTCCCTCACCCTTACAGGAACTCTCCCTTTACCCTCCTTCACTCACATTCCACCTCCAGTTTAACTCTTCTTGTTGGGCTGTGAATCACCTCAGAGAACAGTGGTGAGTTACGGACGCTCGCCTTGGGTTTATATCACAGCTCAAACACACACCCAAGCTTCCCTCTTCCCTCGGTACGACTCTCGCCTCCCCCGTACTCTCATTCCCCTCATATTTATATTAGTTACTTCCTCATAGTTTCCCTCGTAGAAATACTAAGTTCACTTCCCCCATAGAATTCCCCACAACGGAAATATTTCCCTAGAGATAATTATCAAACTCTCATTAGAACTTCCTCCCTCTATAAATTTGTTAAGATGCTCTACATTACGTATCCATCCCCTCCTTCCATCCATCTATCCATCCATCCATCCACCATGAAATCCTCCCTGTTTCTCCCCACCCTAGTCAACAAGCTGAGGAGTCCCTCCCTTTGTCAGGGGTAGTGTGGCGCGTCTTCCTGCTTGAATTCCCAGCAGCCTCTACCTCTGGGCTACTCCACCTAGCATAATATCAATCACACCTTCGTCCTCGTGCTGTCAAATTTTTATGGCAGGTTTTTCAGTGATTTTTGCCCTTTCATGATTACAAGTTTTTGAGATCGGGAAAGACTGAGTATGAGAATATAACAACAACAACTGAACAACTCATAAACTCAAAAGTGCTTCGTCGGAGATAAGTGAAGGTAGTCAATTATAGATAAAACATACAACTATGAAATCTCATGCCACACTACCTGAGTAACTGTCATAGAATCATGATGTTCGTCGGGCGGAAGTAAAGTGGTTATCACCCATTCACTATACCGAGAGTCTTAACGTAAAATCTGTTGGCTACCTTTACAGTGTTAGTAACTCTATTTACAAACCCCAGAGGTAAGCAACATTTTCACACCAGGACTCATGGATGCTCTCTTTAGTGCTTAGATCTACAGGTAGGCACTGGGTCACATCATTATGTTAATAAGTGGTGCCAATTTCCCCCACCGACCAATATTGTCATCAGTGTAGTCAGTACAGGCCACATAAACATCATATGACAATAAGCTTCATTGAACACAACTAACACTCGTGCTATATACAATATTTGAGTGAGGAACCTTGGTCACGAACCGTAAAACTGTGTCAGTCACCAAAACAAACTCACTACTGATTGAACACACCATTACCTTCGCCCGACACACACTCACAGAAAACGGAGGACTCCCCATCATGTGAGCAATAACATTTATATATGCCATGTGAAAACGGAAATGGACACAGCGCTTTTAATTTTCGTAGTTTATATTCAATTGGTCTAAATGGGAAAGGGATAATCTATTTCGTAAGTAATAATGATGAGAAATATTTTAATTCAGAACTAAATGTTTATATTTTCGATTTAAAAAAAGAGAAAGGTTATGGATAAATTAACACGTTGTTCGTATATTTCACCATATCCAGGTAGAGGGGTATTAGAGGTTTCACTTCTAAGAATTTAGAGCTGCTCATTTCACATAACACCATTACCACAGTACTAAATCCTGTGGGAAATTACTTTTTTTTCCTTGACCGTTTTCCCTTTGCCTCACGCACGATCTTACACAAAACCAGGATAATTAATAGCAAATCATCCTGTTCATATAAATAGTGTCGTAGCTTTAATGTACTGGGAGCCATCTCTCCTGTCCTGTTCCCTGTAAGACAGAATATGCAACTACAAATGGAAACAGGGGTGTCCTTTTTCCAAGGCAATTTAACGCAAACGCATACTGCAAATGCATAACCATAAACTCATACCGCAAACGCACTGCAAACGTATATATGGAATCCTAACTTAACCTGCATCCCCAGTATTGAGAGTAATAATAATTAATGTACAAGAAATAACAATCTTGTGGCGGGTTGAGAAGTGCTTTGACAAGTGTTAGTAATGTAATTGAAGGACTGACGACCAATCTATGTTGTGTCACTGTCATAGATTGTTACCAGTACCAAGAGTAATTTCGACTGAACATTGATCCTGTTAATGCTGAATATTTGTTTGGCTGGCGTGGAAGTAAGGCCAAGTGGTCTTTGTAATTTGAATCGGTGTTAACGTAAATTTGGCTAAGTCTTGAGTGAACCCCAAGGAGTGGTTCATGTGTGTATGTTCTGGTCAAGTACTCGACTTCATCTGTGTTATATGCTGGGGTATTACTATCACTGCAGTATTACTGTATTACCTTTGTCTCTTCCCCTATCTTGGTGCTACTGGGTACTAAATGTAACTGAATCTACGTGCTATAGACCTTGTCACGTTACCACGTTTAAGAGGTTAAGTTATCTGTATAAGACGTAAAATAACTAAGAAATAGATAACAAGGAATAAATACAGCAAGAAACTGAAAAAAATAAGTACTTTGAGAAGTTGAATTAGAAAGTGAATATAGAGAATGAAACAGAAATAAGGTTAAAGAAAGAAAAGAAAGAAAATACATAATACATAACCAATAAAAAATAAAGTAAATAATTTCCTCCCCTACAATGGTGTACAACGTCACGTACAAATGGTGCTTAGATAGTGAAGTACTGCAGTTTTACTATAGTGCAGGGGCAGATCCAGGGATATCAAAAGAGGAGCAGGAAATTAGGAAATTATGGGTGGGGGAACATGGCAAGCACAGCGAGCTCGCCCAGCTGGGTATTTTTGGGAGAGTGCAGTAAGCCCCCCCCTCCCCCAACCCTTTTCTTTAATGACCAATATCATGGGCAGTTTAAGGTCCATTTTGAAGCCTTGTGCGCTTGATATTAGAGAGATATTCTGAGGCCAATAGTAATTTATTTTTGCTATACAAAACCACCCGAGTACAACACTACATTAAAGAAAAATTATTGTAATTTTCTGATGAAAATGGGGCTCTAGTCCCCCAGGACCCATCCACCCCCCCCCTGGATTCGCCCCTGTAGTGACGTTACCCCCAATATGGTATCAAAATTCCTATTCCTTACTTATAAAAAATATATGAATTTTACTATTGTGCGCGTCATTTGAGACGATTTTTATCTATTTAGCATGCAACTAAATATCGCTCTAAAATTCTATCTATCTGTTGGGATATTGTAAATTACTTTTTAAGAACTGTAAGTACAATATATCCTAAGAGAAAAGCTCAATAATTTTTAATCTGGATTCTCCGTTGAAGAGTTGCTAGAAATGCTCCTTCAGTAACTTTACGTTGTTTACTAAAGTCAACACTAAACTTTGTGTATTTTCTTATTATAAAAAAATAATAATGCTTAGGCGTAACCCTACAAAAATTGAGTTAAAACTAGATGATCTCCAAGAACTGACAAATAAACTTAAAGGCGAAAGTGAAGCAAAGAAAGCGAGTGATAAACTTGAAGGAAGTCCCAGCCTGGAAATACAAAAATCAAGGAAAGAACTAATTGAGGAACGTATTGGTTATAACCCTAGACCCCGGAGACCCAACTAGGTATGGTATATTAGGATGGTCAGCTGTGTTTGTGTGTTAAGATGATGATACATGATGATTGAGTGAAGTATCAGTGGCAGAATGGTACTATTGACTAAGTTGCCACCAACCAAATCTCGAAAATTTTATCTTTGCAATCATTATTTTTAGAGAACTTTAAGATACTTTTATTCAATATGTTTCCCTTGCAAATGACTTATATATGCGGGGGGTGGGGGGGGTAGGTTAGGTTATTTACGAGGGAAATGTCATAGAAGAAAAATGTTAGAAGTCTAAACTATTGATTGCAAAGATAAAATTTCCAAGGTTTGGTTAATGTTAACAGCAAATATTTAGTAGTTGCTAACACCTAACTGACTTCAGAAAATGGGTTTTTATAGTGTAAATGATCGTGTTCAATACAATTATGATCTTCATTGCCGTCAGAAATGAGCCGTTGTTGAGATATTGAAAAAAAGTGGTAGGTCAATAAATGCAAGAACCTAACCTAACCCAATCTAACTTAACCTAACCATAGTGTGTAAGAAACTTATCTGAAGTAAGAGATACAGGTGGATAGTGATGCAATTTGAATGAAGAACTGTTGTCTTTCTCAGAGTCCATCTCTTACCACAGTACCATGCATGAAACAAAAATACCGTGAGCTCTAAAAATGTCAATGGCTGCTGCTTCATTGTCCAAACCTCAATAAATAACGAGCCAGTCAGCCAATGAACGTACATCCTTCTAACACAGATGCCGTCTTCCAACTGCTCGACTCGAGCAGCTCGAGAATTGAAATTTACACTGATTGGTGCATGAGTATTATGTCAAATCGGCACTCATGCTGATTAGCGCACACGACTGTCACGTCACATCAACACACGCTGATTGGCCGAATGTTATAAAATAAAAGTTAAAATAACTCAAAAACTAAAAATTTGTGAGGGAAACAGAATAAATTATTTTTATTTGTCTCTTCCTATATATTACTCAATATTCAGTTAGGTGTTGGCAACTACTAAATATTAACCATGTCACCTTAAGCAAATTTACCGGCAGGATAGGGTAGGTAGGGGCAGATCTTGGGGTTCAGACCCCCCCTTTTCATCGGAAACTTCCAACGCTTTTTCTTTAATGCAGTATTGTACTCAGGTGTTTTTGTATAGTAAAATTTAATTGCTATTGACTTCAGAATACTGTATCTCCTTATATCAAGTTGGATATTTAAGAAAATATGGTGCTACTATAGTATGCAGTCTACTGAACTGGAGTTGGTCTACCAGGATATTACCGTAACACTAGTGTCCATAATCCTAACCTAATCTAAGTTAGGTTAATGGACACTATACAGTAGTGTAAATATCCCAGTAGATCAACTCCAGCCCAGTAGACCGCTTTATTTGATAAAATCAAATAAACAAAAGTCTTTGATTTTTTTATTTAATAAAAATATAAAAAAATAACCAACACTCCCAGTGAGCGACCCTAATGCTAAGCAACTGAACACATCCCAGCAAACTCTTCATACGAATTGTTAATAATAAAAATAACACCCTAACCAACCAACCAACCTAACCTAACTTATCCTAACCTAAAGTAATACACTGCTATCTTGAGATAGCATCTATGCAAATAACAGTTGTGTTAAACTTTCATTTAACTTTTCTTTAATGATTTTAGCTGCATTTTGTCCATCTACGTACACTCTAGTTTACAAATGTTGCTTGTAATAGTACAATAGTACAATTGTTGGTGCTACATTACAGCTGTGGTAATATTCCTTATATTTTATTTTTTATTTTTACATGTTCGGTAGCTACCTCCAAGAGTAAAGTTGGGCTTACAAACAAGCCTTTGGAACATAACTTCGTAACTAGAGGAGCAACTGCGATGTAGAATACTGTAGCTACTCTTTGTACAATATCTTATGTATTTCAGTATTTTTTATGTATTATGTGTGATGTTTAGTGTTTATGAAAGCATTTTTGGAAGTATTTCAGTATTTTTTATGTATTATGTATGATGTTTAGTGTTAATGAAAGCATTTTTGGAACAGTTTATGGGTATTTTTTTTACTCTGGAACCAAACTGTTTACTTCTATTTAAATGAATTATAAATCACGCTTTGATAATTCACTAAGTCTTCTGGTACCTAACCTGCAACTTATAGATGCTCCACTGTCCTGTTTTTGGAATATTCATAACATAAGAAAGAATTTATCTTCATCTACAGTATACTTAAATTTTCTGTGGTTGTTGTTTCTTATTATGAAACAGTGACACAGAGCAACCTTATTTAAAGGAAAGACTAGGAGGAAAAAGATGAAATGTGAAATTCCTTCACCAAATTTGGGTTATTCTAGAGGTATATATGGCTGGTTGACATTTAATGACCAAAAGTTAAGCTCATTTTTACATGATTTTGCTAAAAATTCCCTTTCCTCGTACACCACTTCGTATGTATGCTCTGTTTTCTCGGGCAAATTACAACAAACTGTCCCTGAAGAACAGTATATCAAATGAAGCATTTCTAAAATTAATAATACAGTATTCAATACTAATCTTGAGTAGAAGCGCTCAGTGGTTTGTTCCTACTACAATCAAGCTTAGTTTAGTGGTGGCAGATGGTTTAAAAAATAATTAAATTTTTTATTACAGTTGTTTAGTCAATTTATTACTTGTAACTAGAAAGAAAAAAAGCTTTACTGTATTCTTTTTTTTATTTGCAGATAGCAAA